AGCTTTAAAGGGCTTGAGTACGTATGTTGTAAGGGTAATGTCATCTTCAATGTCACATTATTATCTCACTAGTGGCCCGCCCTCGCTTCGCTTCGGTATAGAGCTGAAGTGTAGACTATAGTTTTTGTTCAAAAGCTTGCATTATATATACACAATGACTTTCTTCATAATAATTGTAAACTTTACAGATGCAATAGCGATTATTAACTCTGACCTGGCCGTAATTTGTTCCTGGAGTAAGTCATTCGGCCTTACCATGAACCCCACAAAGATCAATTTTGAACATTTACCTCCTAAAACCTTTGATGAAACTATTATTTCATTATCAAGCACAGTCAAAAACCTTTGGGTGGTTTTTGATCAGTGTTTCTATTGGAGGTCTCAGGTGGAGGCTGTCAGGAAGATTTTTTTACTGCATACAGCTCACTATCTATCCTTTCCGAGGAACTCCTAAATAAACTGGAAATTCTGCAGAATTTATGTATTAGATTTATTTTTAACGTCCGTCAATATGACCATGTCTCACACTTCCGTTCTAAACTTAATAGGCTCCCTATTTGCCGGCGCAGGGACTTACACACCCTTACGCTCCTTTATTCTATACTTTTTCTACCTTCTTCTCCACATTACTTAAAATAATGCTTCTTGTTTCTTTTATCTACTTTACAACGCACTATGAGCTGTTCTTCTAACCTTACCCTTTGAAAATCCACATCATACAACCGATTTATTTTCCTATTCCTTCTCTGTGCATTCTGTACCTTTAGCACGAACCAATATCGAATTCGTAACGTTTGCGAGTCCGAAATGTCAGTGTCAAATGTGTACTGATCTTCAGGTCTCGTTACGTACTTTGTGGCGCTGCTGTTCAAGTTTAAATACAAAATTTGACATTAACATTTCGGACTCGCAAACGTTACGAATTTGATATTGGCTCATGCTAAGCGTACTGTACGTCTATGGAACTCATTACCGGAAAATATTCGAAAGACTCGTTTACAGATCAAGTCCGGAATAATTTCCTGTCCCAACCATAAAGTTTAACTATTTCTTTTACTCTTATGTTTCATACCCTGATACATCTGTTTCCCTTATTGTCACACCCCTCCTCAATGCCCTACTTATTTATTTATTTCTCTATTATGGGCTGCCTGGAAGAGTTTGCTGCCTAGCAATAAGGCCGCCTATATTGTGTACGTTCTGTCTTCCATGTTTTGTTTCTTTTGCATCCTGTGTGGTGTACTACAATAAAGTGTATTATTATTACTATTATAAACCTTCCATTCCAATTGAAAAAAATATTGAGTAGTTCAGGCCCGATGTACCGAATGCACCAATGCTCTACTGTTCCGATTTGTTTTTTTTTGTTTTAGATAGTGCATTTATCGAGGAAGGCTATGGGCTATATAACATCAGGCTACGACCAGTAGCAGCGGAGCATCGATAGTATTTAATAGAGATTAAGTGTCTGAAACGTAAGCTGCATTTAACATTTATTTGCTATAATATTACTAAACAAGAAATCTTTATCTGGTATGCGTGTTATATATTTTCAACCGGCCTTAAAAAAAGGACGTTCACAATTCGACTGTATGCTTTTTATCGCATATTGTCATTTTATATATTCTTCAGGTTATCCAGCTTTTTATACCCACTGAATGCGGAAACCGCAGGACCGCTGTGAATGGGATTTCGTTGAGGAAGCCTATGACTAACAGCGGACGTCCATTGGCTGATGATGATGATCCCGCTTTGTTGTTCGGGATATTAGTATAGTAATCTTGAATTTACATTATTAGTTATTAAAATGACAGATGCAATATAAAATAGGTACACATATAACAATTGCAGTAGCTCAAATAATTCGTTTGACATTCTATTGATATTTTATCATGAATGCGTTCAGGTAGTCATGTGAGTTCAACAGAATTGATTACACAGAAAAGCAAATACTTACTTATTGCAAATGACAGGGTGTTTTTTGTGATGCTAAAATGTTGCGTAGTGCATACCAAAATTTTTGTGCCAGAATTAATGTTGGATGCGGGTTTTTATAACCTAACCAAGTATATTATACTGATTTTTATTATTTTCAAAACGATGGCTATTGCATTTATCTGTGTATGTGACTTTTTGTTTGTAAAGAAAATCGTGAATAATTTATTCTAAAACAACGAATCAAACTTGACGATAGTTGTGAAGTTGACGTGACACAGTAGACGTCATCGAAACGAGCGTTTTGACGGTAAATTCAAACACATTAAAATGAAATTCAACTTTAATTGGTCTAATGGAGAACAAAAGACATAATTGATTAATTTTATTTTTTCTGTTAAATCGTTTGTCCCAATCTTTAAATACAAGCAGTTTTCAAAAATTAGAAAGTACCCTATTGTGAAAAAGTTGATTCAGTATCTGTATCTTCGTCACGTTAACTTTACTTGTATGGATTAATGTTTATAACATAACATTTAATTTTTAACATAATAAACTTATTTTAAATTCAATCAATATATTATTTTTATTTAAGTAACCACACAGTAGGTGTTTGGAACAGAGTATGCTCTTCAGAGATAAAAACATCTTAGCCTTGGGCAGACTTGGATACTTCGCTTCATTCAGGATTCTTATTTATTCAGGATTTTATTTTGTTCGCTCATGTGTTCACTACATTAGTTTAGATGACGGATTGTGTTGTATTGTGGTGCGATAAATTCTATAGTCAATATGTCCATAAGAATCAGAGGCTAACCTTTTGATTCCCCCAGGTTCGGAAATGAACTACAGAATCATTCATTTCGCTCATAATTAATATGCTGCCCCTGACATAATACATTGCTTTATCCTCTTGGTGCATAATTTCAATTAAGTGCTGTGATACTTCATTTTATTTTAATCGTAGACAGTTAGGTAGCGGGCATAAGATTTATCTTCTTTTTTCTCTTAATGGTCAATCATCAGAATCTTAAAAATCAGAACTAAATCAGAATATTTTTGTAAAAGATGCCTTATGCTCCTTATTAGATTAAACATTTTTTGCTTTCCGTGACAGCCTGTTATTAGGGCAACACCAAATTATTTAAGAAAATAAATGTATTAGGTATTAGCATGTGAGGTGTATGTTCTTGTTGGTTATCCAAATAAATAAAATAAAATAATATTAAAATTATAATATTATTCGTAAAGCATAGCTGCCAGCCGTTGGCACTAGACAAGCAAAAAGGATAGTAACGCTGTGGGCGTTACAGTACCTACTGTACTTTATGTGTTCATTTCCATTTCTCTCTTCTGTATTGCCTGTGATGTTATTATAAGTTAGCCTCTGATTGATATAATGGCATCATTCTCTTACTAACATTATGTAGGTGCCTAATCCATTCATAACGCATATTTACGAACCGCCGAAAGAACAATGGCGATTGTTGGATTACGTATTGGCGTACATAATCTATAAAAAGCTGAAATAAATCTCACGCGATATGCTTTGAACGGTGCGCATTTCTTGTGTCAGAAACTCGGAACCAATTACCTACGCTCCGTCCACGATGTTCGTTTATTATTTATTAATTACTTCTCTGTTGGTTAGCGTTTGTGTCGCAAAACATCGTAACTACGACGATTTCAACATACACTCGTTATTGTCTGATGCGACTAGATCGAAAAGCTTGATTGAATGTGTCAGTGACGAGTCGAAATGTCTAAATAAGGAGGATAAGGAGATGAAACGTAAGTACCTACTCATATATCAAAATCACCATCACACCCTATATGGCACAGGCCTTCCCTATGGATGGAATAGGGAGATTGGGCCGTCACCGAACACGCGATCCCAGTGCTATTGGAGGGTGCCGGCAGCCGGGATCAACGACTTAACGGGCCTTCCGAAGCAGAGAAGAACTCGAAATAATGAGTTTTGGTCACCCATCCAATGACCGACTATTGCGAAAGTTGCTTTACTTCTACGATTGCAGGCCAAATGCGCTATTCACCTGCGCCATTAAGCTCCTCCCGTTCAAAAAGGGTGACTATTAGAACCCAATTTAATGTCTTCGCTGTCTGTTTCTCACAAAGCTCTATCTTTTTAACTGAAATTATGAGATATCTGATTTTTTCACAGAATGCAAATCATATCTGAATAAATAAATAAATATTTTCAACACTCACACCAATTAGTCTAGCCCCACCAAAGTAAGCACTGTAAGGCTTGTGTTATGAGATGCTAGGGTAACGGATAGAATACATATGCTGTACATATATAAGTATATTTATATATAAATATATATATTAACTCCATGACTGGAGTACAAATGCTCGTATTCATCACACAAATATCTGCTTCCACCGGGATTCGAAACCGGGACCTCTCGCGTCGGCGATACCATGAAACCCGACGTACAAACCACCCGGTCGTCGTCAAAATGTCAAAATAAATAATTTATCTAATTAAAGCCGGGTTGTTTTAACCATAGTTAATTTAGATTTTAGTTAATGTCACGCCAAACACATAGAGAATGTGTAAAATTTTGACAAATAGTATTTTAAGTAAAGGCAAATATAACTTTGGATGAAACAACGCGGCCTTAATCGAGGTGAATCAAAACAGACTGTGTCTGTAAAAACATAATCAAATTAAAGTTTTGCAATTTTCTAGTAATAATAAAACGGAATCATAATACAAAGGAATATGCACCGTTTCCAAATGAATTATTACTTTGAAATGCCTTCATCATTTTTAAATATTCGATAATAATTGCCGCAAAGCTCTTAATACATACCTACGCGTTGTTAACGCCTGCTCTTGTTTTCTGTATACAAGACAAGAAATAAATAAAGTTTCACTTTTTTAATAGGCGCTTCACGTTTTTAACAAATATTGGTGTCCTCACTATCAGTCATATCACATGCTTCTTTGTATCCTAGTTACAAACTATAAATAGATGGATTTCAGAATGAATTTACCTCACATTTTCAGACGACGTCATAGAAATGCTCAGCACATCATGCTCGAACTGCACAGAGGGAGAGAAGCAGAAGTATACGGAAGCGATGCGAGCAGTACGGCGGTCTATGAAGCAATCGCAGGTGGTCAACATGATCGTCAATAAAATAACTGACATGCTCCAAATCAGACTGGATTCTGATAGCTGAACTTTTTAGTGACAATAGGTATGATGACAGGGTAAAGTAAACGAAATTCTATCCAGTACGCAGTTAGATTATCAAAAAATAATAGACTTTTATTTTTTCTATAATCAAATCTAATTACAAAAATAAAGCGCGTCATAGTTTGTAAGTGGGGCTAGTGACATCACATCTAAGTAAAAATTGTAGCAAGACGTGGCGTAACATGACGTACGACATTTCAAGTCAATATAATTATCCTCAGCTAAACTAGGAAGTTCATACAGGATCAACTTCCTAGTTTGGTTGAGGATGTTTATACATATGTACTTTGTGTGAAATAATGTCCTTAGTTTTAACATATTTATAAAAATATTACCATCTAAATTTTTTTTACAAATAAATATTATTATTTTTATCTCTGTAGTGTATAATTATGTGTATAAAGAAAAAATAAATGGGTGTCCAAAGCTTTTTGATGTCTACCCGATAGACGAAGAAAAAAAAGATAAATAAATAAATAAATAAATATTTCCAACACTCACACCAATTAGCCTAGCCCCAAAGTAAGCACTGTAAGGCTTGTGTTATGGGATGCTAGGGTAACGGATAGAATACATATACTGTACATATATAAGTATATTTATATAGAAATACATATTAAACATCCATGACTGGAGTACAAATGCTCGTATTCATCACACAAACATCTGCCCCCACCGGGACTCGAACCCGGGACCTCTCGAGTCGGCGACACCATGAAACCCGGCGTACAAACCACTCGGCCACGGAGGTCGTCGATAAGCATCACTCTATTGTAGTTTTAAGTTTTTAGTAGTCTATTACAATTTTGCGGACGCCAATATTTTTTTAATAAGTCTCTGTAACGAGCCATAGGACAGGGTGTTTAAAAAAACTCAGGATTTTTTATACGTAACCACATTTAGGTATAAAATTCCATTATTCTTATACATTACACAATACAGTCCGAAAAATTTACCCAAATCTTCAGATGAGAAAAATAAGTTGTATGCGCTATAAGTACTAACTTATATATAAGTGTTTTGTTTTCATGTTTTTTATATTATATATCGAAGGTTTACTGGCCTTGTATAATGTGAAACAGTGAAACTTTAAGATAAGAAATAAAAAATACAACATTCAGATTTATTTGATTATTATTTATATTCTTAGAGCCAATGGGGCTCTACTGTGTGAAATACCTAAATCGAAAGAAGTACCTGCGTTTGACTATAACCTTGCAGAAACACATAATATTTTCGACCCTTTTTTACTTGAAATAAACAATTGTAGACATTTCTTGCACGATAATAGGGAAAGTTATGATTTTTTAAAAGAATTAGTAATTAATATTAATATATAACAATAATTACACATTGAAATTAAAAACAAATTATATAAAATCAAAACCACTAAAAAGTAAAGGAATGACACATATTCTTTACTTATCAAAAATACATTAAAGTAAAATTTACAATTAGTATCGGTGGCATGCCAACCCAAGCAGCAAATGGTAACTGATCTATCAATATGCATGGCACCGACTCTAAACGTTAATTTAGATTTTAAGTACTTTTCCTGTTTAGTGGTTTCGTTTTTATGAAGTCGCTTTTTGTGTTTGTAATGAAAATAATTTTCACATTTTATAAACCCCGAGCAACATCAACTAAATCCTTATAAAAAGCTAAGTGACGCTGTAGCAAACAATTTGCGACTGACCACTTGCATCTGCGGACTCCAACTCAAACGGTTGTCAAATGTTAACATAAATCTTTTTGCCGACGCGACTGAAAGGGGTATTATTACCAGCCAGTTGGATGTTTGGTAATGACTGTCAGTTCACTCTATTGATTATCCTAGAACTACCTTCTACTATTATGCTAGTAGTATAAGAGGGATTCACGTCTAACCTAAAAGACTTGCTCCACTTTACGATAACATGTAGATCGTTATTAGTGGCTCGCACAGTTGCACCGCATTATCATGTTGACTAAAGGGTGCTTGGCGATAGATTTGGAGGTCACCTACATGTAGATGGATGGATGATAGGAAAAATAAATGTTGTTTGAAAAAGAGTTAATTATGATAGCGAAAAAAAGAGGAGATAAGACGCAGCCTTGAGCCTTGACGCCAGCAGTTGTATCACCACGAAAAAAAATTCTGCTTAGGGGGAACGCTTTGCCTTGTACCCATACAGATATCTCTGAAACTACTCTATCACTGATGGAGATATGTTAAGTCAGCGTAGCAATGCCAAAAGAACATCAAAGTCGACAGTGTTAAAACATTGCTGAACTCCAACAATGTTAATACAGAAAGAAAAGCATTAATCATTCCAAGATGTATATCATCTATCAGTTTAAGTAATGAAGTCGTAGTACTATGCCTAGGATGGAAACCGGATTGGAGAGGATTAAAGAGATCGTGGCGAGGAAGGAATACTTTAAATTGGTTATGAACAAGGCGTTCAATGAACGTCGATAGGAAGGAAAGGATAGAAATGGGACGAAAATTAGCAACAGATTAAGGGTAAGATTTTTTAGGGAGTATAATAATCTGGGCTTGCTTTCAAACTGACGAAAAGACAGCATTTCAAATAGATCTGTCAAAAAGGAAAATAAGAACAAGAATAATGATATCTGGGATAGCTATCATGCTACGGATAATGCCATCGTTCTCCATCGCCAAAGAAGAGATAGAAAGCATGGCCCTTCTTAACGTCACATTCAGTGAGTTAGGTAAAGAAGAAAGGAGAATAGTTAAGAAAGTTAAAGTTAGTTGAGAACTGGAAGGGAAGACAGAAAATTTGAAGTGCTAGACTAAGTCTTGTTAGAATCACTGAGACTAGAAGAGGAAGAAAAGTGTGAAGTTTGAATATACTGCTGCTAGAAATCGCTTTTGTCGAGGCTTATCAATTCCAAGTGATTTGAGGAAATTCCAGATATTTTTATTGTTTATCGACAGAGACATGATTATGGCGAAGTAAGGCATCCCTACACACCAAATAGAAGTGTATAGAAGCTCTTACGTAGTTAACTTTGTTTTCATCAGTTGGACGACTTTTGTAACGTTGCATTTAGCAACATCTTTTTGTACATTAGTTTTGGCGGTGGAACTGTTTGAGCTTGACGGGATGGAAAAACGACATTGTCTGTCATATGACAGACAGATCAATTTAACCATATAATAACAGGGCTATATAGCCCTGTTATTATATGGTTAAATTGATATATAATTATATAAATGTGGATATAAATTACATTACATTAAAGCTTAATTTACGCTTTACTATAGCTTGCCTTGCGACTTTTGGTATGCATAAAAGAAGTTGTGGGAGACGATAATTTTTTATGTGCAGCTGAAGGAAACACATACGATGGAACTAATTCCAATTTCGAACGAAAATTCTTGCGAATTTTAGTACCAAAGCTTCGTCGCGCAGGTGTGCATACTTCTATTTTCTGATCGCAGACCGATTGCGCTAACCACAGAGCCATCGAGTTCCTCAGCATACTATGCGTAAGTACATTTCCACTTAACAACACAATAATGCACCTCTTAATTTTTCGTCCACTTAACCTGTATAATCAATCGCGATACTTTTCAAACATTCCTTAAAAATACTGTGTTCAGGCAGGATAGATTATGCCCACGTGCACCAAATTCTTAAATAAAATAAAATCTTATATTTAAACCCAATTCTTTGTCTATTTTTATTACTTTAACAATCGATAGAGGCATGATGTATTCAACCGGATAACACATTAATTTGTAAGTGTGTGTAGAATAAAAAATATTTGTGCTGCCCGAGCTTATTGATAACCGATAATCATTAAACCTTAATCGGAAACAACCTTGATAATTAATGATCTTTAAATTACAGAATAAGCTCGTTCTTGTTTCTTGAGTTCATTGGCTTCCCCCAACCAGTTTTCGTATATTAAAAGTCCCGTGATCTTATCCTTCATTTTTATAAATGTTAGAAATATATATTAAAGTAAGTACAAACAACGTTACCAAAAATCACGTAAGAAGAAACTAATAAGGTATATTTTTGTTTAAGGCAAAAAAAAATAGTGTATTATTCAATTAGTCCATTTTGAATGTCCTCTAGAAGTACAAAATACTGTTACAATATAGAAGGGACCTTATGGAACCAGGAATAAAGCTCAGCTCAGCTCCTGTCTTATCATATCCTGACTCATACAAAATCTCAAAACTGGAAGCATACATCTCTGGAGAAGAATTAGACAATTTACAAAAGTGGCTTATGGCATTCGTCTTCACATATAATACCTATTTAATCAATATAACAAAAACAAAACAGATTCTTACTAATTCTAATCTTAGCGTATAAACAGATGAAAGTAAACAACAGACTGTCGCGGGCGTTCCGATTTAATTCCTTACACAGAAAGTGTCCGTAAACAGTACTTTCTTTTGCGTTTTGTATGCGTCCCGTTAGCGCCGCCGTCGGCCCAGACCGACTGGTTTGACTGCACCGGGGCCACTACGCCGCTGCCATCCGTGCCTGCAGGACTGTCCACTTTCTTTATACCTGTGTGAGTATTTATTTATATTTTATTTTTAAACACTTTAGAAAGTTCGGCCAGTGCGTCGCTTGGTTCGTTTAAATGTTATGCTTAGAGAACAAAGGACTGTATCTTTGAAATTTAAAGTGTTCGAAAAACTATTTTCAATTCATTGTTTGTATTTTCTTTTCAAGTTTGACTGTATTTTTTTTTTTGCTTATTTCCATTTAAAAAAATTCGAAAAATGTTTTAAACCTTATCTGTAAACAGCGCTCCAGTTGCGGTAACTTTTACATATTTATCATTAGAACATAACTCACTTATTCTTCGCCAATAGCATACCATAATTATATCGAATGCATGTAACGCCATCTTTGGACGGTTTTGATTCTTAAAGATTTCAAACAATACTGCGACACTGAACGACACTTACATTAGTAAGTTCACAAGTTTGATATAATTTAGTTGGTTATTTACATACAAATATTTAAATTACAAAAGTTCACGAGCAGGTACATTTGCTTTATAATTTGTCCTCGACAATCGACAAAGTTAATCTACAATATTACCTTTATATGTATAAATTAATAAATGGTAATATAGTCGAAGTCTTTGAATATATTTCAAATGCTCCTGAAAGGCGCTGCATACAAATAAAGACAGGTTTTTGAAATTAGACATTGCCCCATGTAATGATAAGAAAAGTAATTTTTAGTTTTGAACAACTTTCATAGCTAAACTTATATAACTACATATAAGTAAGTTAAGAAGATATAAGTTTTACATCCAGCTTTTGGATTTTATCCTAAATGGGGTATATGCGATGCGTTTTGGCTACTTGATGTTTATTAGAAAAAAATCCTTTTATTATTTTATAATATTACTAGCGGCCACCAGCGACTTCGTCTTTTTAGTTTTTTGTGAATCCCACAGGAACCTAACATTTTTACCGTGGTAAAAATTATCCTATGTCTCAATCCAGGTAATAAACTATATCCGTACCAAATTGAATCTAAATCAGTTCAGTAGTTTTTGCATCATTGAGTAACAAACTCACTTTCGCATTTATATTATTAGAATTATTTATGACTATGACATTTTTACTAAAGACCGTTTACTATAATGATTGCAGCCTTTGCGACTACCTAAGGAATAGGAAACATTTAAAAAATCGCCATAACAGGCTAATCGTTTGTCGTATAAGCATCCAGTCGAAGCATTAAATTACTTTAATGTATATAGGTACACCGTTACAAGGAAATCTCCACAGTTAACTTCATTAATTATACAGCAACTTCAACGTAACTAACTCTCTTTACCTTTAAAATTTATGCAATTTATGCACATCATGATTAGCACACCAGATAAATTGAACCCTACGTATTTATGTTCTTTTTATAGTTTTTTTTTTCATTTTCAATTTATTCGACGCTCACGAGAGATTTTCGCGTTTTAACCAGAGGATGAAATAGTATTTTTTACCTTTTAGCAGACCTCAGCTATTTAACATTGTAACTGTACTAATATTATAAAGAGGAAAATATTTGATTGTTTGTTTTGTATTGAATAGGAAACTATTGGAACGATAAAAAAAATAAACACATTTAGAAGCCGACATTTACCCTGACCCTACTTTTTGGAAAATATTCCAAAAAGTTAGGGTCCTGTATGATAACTTCGATAATGTAACCTAGGGTGTGAAGAAAATACCAAAAATAATCTTATATCGCGTACGCTGCGGAAGTCATTGACAATAGAGCAAAGCGATGTACTAGTTAGAGTTTTCTAGAGGACATCAATATCTACAAAAAAGTCCGCGATACCATATATCTATCTATTACAGTTGTCACAACTAGAGCTCTCCTGCGGTGTCACCCCCATTGATTTGCGAAAAAAGGTTGCAGTGAGTTTTACTTAAAAGTTGGGCATATGCTATTCCGGACTTTTTTATAGAACTTTTAAAGGGGAATAATTCCGTAATACGTGGTTTTTGTGTAACTTTAGCCATTTACGCAGCGCACGCACGAAAGATTACAAATGGAATATTTTTACCCGTTATTATAACATTTTTCATCGATGCTCCGCTTCTATAGGGACCCAAGCTAGAACTTTGACAGATATATTAATACTATCGTTATCGTCAAACTTTGTATGGAAGGAGTCTGTTTGTTCTTACGTCCACTACGGGGCGCTGCTTAGTTTTCATAGAAACTTTGAGGAAACGATACGATCACGGAGTTGTCAAAGTTCATACTTGGGACCCTGGTTATGTATAATACAAGCTGTAGAACGAAAACTAAAGTCTACACTACAGCTCTACACCGAAGCGAAGCGAGGGCGGGCCACTAATCTGTTTATTTATTGAGTATGTAGTTACTAGAGATCGACGATTAAATAGATTAGGTCAGTACCTACCTATGAAACGCATGAGGAGGTTCCTTCCTCTGGTTTTGAAGTGAAACTTCTGTTCGGAGGCGGTGTAAATGGAAAAATCGTATGGGAAAGATGAAACTGAAATGCGACGATGAGCATGAAAGTTGAAGGGTAACTCGGCGATGACTGAAAAAAATAGGTGTTGTTATAGAAGGGCGAAAATTTAGGGTTGTATGTATTTTTGTATGATGTATCATAAAAAAATAAAATCAAAAATTTTTGTCAATAAAAAAAATTAAGGGTGGTCCGGTCCACCCTTAATATTAAGGGGGATAAAAAATACATGTTCTCCGATTCTCAGATCTACTGAATATACATAATATAAAATTTCACAAAAATCGGAGGAGCCGTTTCGGAGTATTTCAATTACGCACACCGTGACACGAGAATTGTATATAATAGATATATATGAGATGCGTGCGCTGCTCCATTCCCCTATGCCTTAATGCCTAATGTTAGGTTATTTAAGAAAAGATGTTTCACTTCAGATGTGTGATCCATGCAAACTATTTTTTTTTCTTATTACTTGCTCACCATTTATTCAACAATCAGAATCGTGACGAATTATTTTACTTAAATCTCATAATATGTTTATCAGAATCGTAATCATGAGGAGTTGGCTCGTGTGCGTGCTTGCGCTAGCGGGGATGGTATGCTGCTCAGCGCAACACTTCAACCGCTACGACAACTTCAATGCCGACTCCATCATCCAGAACGACAGGATCCTCCTGGCTTACTACAAATGCGTTATGGACAAGGGACCCTGCACCAAGGATGGCAAGAACTTCAAACGTAAGTTTAAATATTTGCATAATCTGCAGTTGTAATCGGTAAATTATAATTATTAGAGATAATTTGGATATAAAAATATCAGCTTTCCATATTGGAAAAGAAATGGATTAAAATCTAACTACTGGAGCTCATAGTACAAAAAAGATACACGGAATAGAGGCAAATCAACGTAAATTTTAAATAAGATGCAATGCCATATAACTAAAACTATCAATTTTTTTATCATAATAGAAAATAGAATAGTCGAGTAGATCTTTTTATTTGTTTCTTAGGTTTTCACGTACATCATTTATTAAATAAAACAAGTATCAACGGTATAGATGCACTGATTTATTTGTTGAATCGTCAATAAGTAGAAATTTGTTTTATTTAGATTTTCTATTTTATTTTCAATAAATGCATACATCTAGAAATAAACTAATTTATGTTGTTTTCAAGGAGAAATAACGAAAAATTACTATTCTTTCACCGCGTAATACTCTTTGTATTGAATGGAAGTCGTATTCGTATAAGTAAACGAATAAGACTTCCATTAATTACATAGACTTAGTAAACAATAACAAACTTTCTTTTTCGAAAATACCTATCTGAAAATTCGATTGTATTAAATACTATTGGCGCTATATTCCGGTTAGAATTTTTTCTAAAAGCTAGATGTGGGAATTAATACGTCTTAAATTATTTTTATAGCGTTACTAATATCACTTGTCTAAACTACAATGACGTTCACAATATCCCATACATAATATTACGAATACAATAATTATTGACATCAGTAATAAATTTGTGTTTTTCTCGATTTCAGGTGTACTACCAGAAACTTTATCGACCGCCTGCTCCAAATGCTCACCTAAGCAGAAGTTAGTTGTTCGCAAATTACTACTTGGAATCAGAGTTAAAAGTGAACCACGCTTTCTCGAGCTGCTGGACAAATATGACCCACAAAGAGCAAATAGAGAAGCCCTCTACAGTTTCTTAGTGACTGGTGTTTAAAGTTTGTCGCAGACTTTTATCCGTTTTAACAATTTTACTAAAAAATATCGTTTTATTCTATGATGAAGATTGAAATGTTAAAAATATGTACTGTCAACTACGCCACACTGCATTTATAATTATTAATTTATCTTTAGTTTGTAAAATTAATTATAAGTTTGTCTTAAAAATAAATAGTTAAGACTGTAAAATAAATCTTGAATTTATTGAATCAATCATAATCCTTCAGCACAACCGATCGTGATAAATGTCGCCTGCGGTTTATATTCTGTACTTATATTAATTGAGCCAATGAATATGCATGATATCCTTAGAAGATAAAACAATTATAACAATTATCTCAATACCGTAATGTTCAACGCTAAACATGTCATATCTTATATTCTAGGAATCTTTGATAGGTGGATTTCCTATAAATATATTGCGTTTATGGATACCAAGATCACATAAGATTAAACCATCTTTAAGAACAGCCGACGAAGAGATTAATAATAATGAGAACTGTTATTTTTCTATCGTTGCTTTTAGTAGCTATTGTAATAGCTGAAGATAAATATGATTCAATTGGTGACAATATTAATATAAATGAGTTGCTCGAAAATGATAGATTACTAAAGTCTTATGTTAAATGTTTGCTGAATAAAGGACCTTGCACTCCTGAAGTCAAGAAAGTTAAAGGTATGAATATTTTTTATTAACACAGAACATTAAATATTACAAACAAATAAACAAATTACGCTTCACCATTATCACTTAAAGTAATTAAAGGTAAGTTAGTAAGGTAGCTGACATCAATTATTTTGTTACTTTGGCCGTTACTTCTATGACGCTACGACGAAATGTTTCAAAAGAAACCCAACCATGTAAATGGTATTTTCTCGAATTATCCCATATAACATTAAACTGATCATCATCAAACTTTTCACCGGCTCTTTCAAATACTTTTCTTACTGTGTCCTTGTCACGTTTGGCATACATATCTCGGTGACTTACTCCTAGTAATGTCATCACACTTGGGTTTAAGCATATTTTAGCATCAGACTCATGAGGTAAACATATTCTGTCTGCACTAGAATATCCATTGGGTGTCACTGGATTATCTTTATCAAAATATCTCCCCGACGGTAATCCAGCCATTCGTCTATTATAAACTTCTTGATCTGGCTTAACCATCTCTTTGTATGTAGTCCGAAAATCTAAACAACTTTCAGAAACATCCCATACTTTCGGTAATTCTGGAGTTACAAGCGTGAAGTTTATAATATTGGTAAAGATATTATATTCAATGTTCGTGCCATTAAAAGCATTCCACATAGAAAGTAAAGGTTCCAATAGGGTAGGATTAATTCTTATCAATATATCATTACAATATTTATAGACGATTTCTTTTGGAAGCCATCCCGTCTTGCTTTCGTCACAATATCTCAGATTTAAATAGAATCTTCTGAAAAATGTGCTTTCAAATCTTTTTGACAGAAATTTTCTAACAATATTAAGATGAGCAAGACATTTCAAGTAAAATTGTCGGTCGGGGTTCAAGTCGCATGTCGTTAGGCATTCCACAACGTTACTGGGCGGTTGAAGATCTCCAAATGCATATCCTTTTCGTAAACAGCTTATGTTATGATTCGGTTCCATGGCAATACTTAACTGAGAACGTTTACGATCCTGAAAGTTAGATAAAACCGTGCTTGCAGGTATTTTCATAAAGTTGCCTTGTTTAATATTCTCATAGTGTAAACAGGATTTAACAAATTTACCTCTAGGATCTACATTAACTTTCGTTCCGAATGTCATGTTAGGATTATAACCTGGAGCACAATATTTACGATTCGTCTGATATCCAGGGCTTTTTGATAACGGTGTTTTGTCGGGTAAAGGCACTTTTGGCATAACAACATCATATAACTGCTCACATGGTGGTAACTTTTTTCCTAAAGTTGTCATTACATTAAATCCATGAGGTAAGATTGGAACTGGATCTGATACTTTCCCAACAGTTTTTTTCCAATATGATGCATAACAAGTCTCTTTGAAATCATCAATCAAAGTCTCAAATTTGGTTTTGTTCGGTGGATTTATAAGTGTCGCTGCTTCAGTAAAAGGTCCAGCATTTCGCATATCTTTAATGGGTGGACGACGTAAGGGTAGCAATTTTTGTGGCTTTACAGAAGGAATTATGGAATCACTCAACAGAGCGTCAACTTCTTCTTGCATCAAATAATGTTCAAGAGAGCTCGCTACATAATTCGAGTGCTGTGAAGTTGGTACGCCAGCTGCGCAGATTTTTTTGTCTCGTTCAGAAAACATTCCAAAATTTCCTTTACCACCACTTGTTCCACAGTATTTAGACATAATACTATATTTTTGATATTTAATAATTATCATTCTTGTAAGCTTAACTATATATGACCAAAGTATTTACGTTTAAATCAACAAAAAATTAAGTATACTCTGCTGCAAGGCAAAATTAACTGCTGATATGTCAGCATAATACGACACTGACATTTGACATCTCTGTCTCTTTTGCATTGCCGATCTCATAGATGTATTATATGCCGATCTATAGAAAATAATATCTGTGGATTTAATATCACTAAAGACAAGGCTGCATATAAGCTTTAACTTCATAATGGGAGAAATAAACAAAAAAGTGAATTCAACAGGAAAACACGGAAATCAATAAAAATACAAAAAAATATTGTTATTATTTCATCTTATTTATAACTACGGATTCTAAATAAATTTCATTTTTCATATTAATTTTATCTTTTTTGATATAATAAATCGAAGTACAGACGTACGACATGTTATTTTTTAATTTTAAACTTTAAAGTAGGCATTGTTATTTAAATTTATAAAAAGAATGCCTCTAGGCCCTAGTTCTACGAAAATCGTTTGTTGGTCTCCCGGAGCGCCTTCTGACTGCTGATCTCATCATCTTCATCAGCCTTTTTGTCTTTTTTATATATTTATGAATAGGGAAATTGGGCCATGACTAATGCGCGGATTGGCTACTAACTTCAGCCGATGCAGCCAGGGCCAATGGCCTATTGTACCTTCCAAAGCACGTAGGAGCTCGAGATAATAAATTTTTGGTTACCCATCCTATGACCGGTCATTGTGAAAGTTGTTTACATCCACGTCGTATACCGACTGCACTTACCACTTGCTTTATATAGCTCCACGTGATCTATGATAAAGCGAGCATAACGCAACGATTTTTATCATTGATATCTCTTGTTGCCATGACAAACTTTTGATGAGAGCGTTCAAAGTCTTGCTAGCTGGCAGTGAGAACAGCCAACGATCAAGTATTACTTATAATGTACCTTTAGAAGAGCAAATAATCGATAACTTATCGCCTTCTCGTTGGCGTTAGACTAGTGCTTTACATTTTATCCTGGTCCTGCTAAATAGTCTGTATCCAGCAGACAACTACCTAATCATATTTTAAGGTTTTCATACTGTATGGGTGACTACAGAACCCATTACTTAAACAAAACCACCGTTTTCCGTACGTACGCCCTATCCTTCCATCTATCACCGGGTAACATAATAGTAACCGTAACAGTTAAAATTTTCACAAAATGTGTAATTTCACTGAGACTATAAAAATAAATAATAAAATAAAGTTGAAAATAATTTAGGTCCCTGGAAAAGAAATGTAACATTTGCAAAATATTGCTTGGCTTGAGGCTCACTTGCAGAAAAATTGCTTAATCTCAATTCAACTAAAACTAGATATATCCCATAGATGTCAAAACGTCGAAGTCAATTTGTTTTTTTTTTTATGCTAAATAGGCAAGGCGTTTGACCACAATCTTGCCTGATGGAAAGCGATGATGAGACCTAGGATGGTACACGCCTGCCTAGAAGATGCCTGCCTGTTCACTCTGGCCTTGAAGATGTCCAGATTATATTGGTCCGGGAAAACAGACCTCGGCAAGGAGCCGTTCGCATAATGAAAGCGGAAGCAAATCGCTTCTTGCAAATGGGAGGAACTTTGACAACATAAGGGTGAAAGCCTAAATCTAGTATTAGTTCAATTGGAGATTTAGCAAAAATTCTGCAAGTGGACATAAATAAACTTTGTCGTATTACAAGCCTTAGAAAAACTTTAAACAAGACTAACATAAAATGTTGCTTCTTTAAATCAACCATATCAACGTATACTAACCCGAAAAATAAGTTTAATGCCTATTTTAATTTACAGATACGCTTCCTGAAGCTTTGGCGACAAGGTGTGCAAAGTGCACAGAAAGACAAAAGCAAATAGGAAAGCAGTTGGCCAAGGAAGTGAAAAAACGGCATCCAGAGCTGTGGAATGAAATGATAGCTTTCTATGATCCAGAAGGAAAATACCAAGATGCCTTCCAAGATTATCTCAAGCCTTAATTACCAGCACGGATAATCTTTTTAGACTTAATTGAATAAAATATATCGAAATATGTAACAGCTAGATATCCAATATTTGTAATAATCATCACTAGGAACATTGATTTTATGCATTCATTTAAAAATATATATGTAAAGTTTAAAAATATTTGTTGTTAATAGTGTTCAATGGTTTCCCACTTCATTTCGTGCAGTATCTAAAGCTCTTCGAAATGTTTCGTAACAAACCCAACCTTGCGAATGATATTTCATGGCTTCTTCCCAAATTTTGTTAAAACTCTCATCAGTAAACTGCTCGCCACTCGCCTCAAATACTCTTCTTACTACATCTGGTTCCCGTTTAGAGTACATGTCTCGATGATTGACTTGTTGCATAGTAAAAACACTGGGATTGAGACAAGATTTCATATCAGATTCCTGTGGTAAACAAGCTCTGATAGCTTTACAGCATTGATTAGGTGTTTCAGGGTAATCTAAGTCCATATATCTTCCTGAAGGTAAACCAGCCATTTTACTGTCATTTGGAGGTTGTCCTGATTTTACCATTTCTGTATAAGTTGTTCTAAAATCGAGGCAATCTTTTGGTATATCCGGAATATAAGGCATTTCAGAAGAGGGTTCTCTGTAGTTGAGGACATGTACAAATATTTTATACTCTATATTAGATCCATCAAATGCATGCCACATCTCTAACAGTGGTTCTATTAAATTAGGATCGAATCTTATATGCTTGGTTCCACAATATTTATAGACAACTTCTTTAGGTAACCATCCTTTTTGTTCATGATCATAATATTTCAAATTTAGATAAAATGTTTTAAAAAACGTAGGCAAAAAACGTTTTGATAATACTTTTCGAAGAGAATTCAGGTGTTTTAGACATTGTAGAAAAAACAGTCTGCCGGAATTTAACTCACAAAATGTGAGACATTCGGGAAGATTATCTGGCGGTTTCAATTTTCCAAATCGGTAGCCTTTGGGAACGTTTTCAATATTATCGTTTGGAGCTAACACTTTACCGACTCTTGGTTGATTTACATCTTGGAAGTTTGCTTGTATTGTATTAACTAATGTATAATTAGCCGTTCCCAATTTTACCCTGTCATCAGTAACGCAACATCTAGCATATGTTCCTCTTTTATCAACGTGCGTTCGATATCCGAAAGTTAAATCAGGATTAAAAGGTGGCTTACAATAGTTGTAACACTTTTGAACACTTGGCTGCTTATGTGGTGGTGTCATATCAGGATATGGTACTTTTGGCATTACTATATCATAAAGACGGCCGTGAAATGGAGTTTCTTTGCCAAATGTTGTGCCTTCTATATCGAATCCATTCGGTAACATGGGCACTGGATCTTTTACCATGCCAAGAGGTTTTTTCCAGTAAGACGCATAAGGTGTTTCTTTTAAATCTTCTACCAAATTCTGGAATTTGGATTTATTAGGAGGATTAATAAGAGATGCAACATCACCAAATGGCCCAGCAAAACGCTTATCTAAAGGTATAGGTTTTCGAAGAGGTGGTAGCGCTCTTGGAGGTATCGGTGGATTGATAGCATCACTCAAGAGTGCATCTACTTCGTCCTTTAGTAGATAATGTTCTAAGGAATCTGCCACTTCATCATCAGGTTGAGCTGTTGGTAAACCAGCTGCACAAATTTTTGGACCCCTTTCAATAAACATTCCCAAATTCCCTTTCCCCCCCGATGTCGATCGTTGACAGTCAACAGGCATGTTAAATAAATATTAGTACAAAATAAAAATATTTTTCATGATTTTACCGAGTCCTTGACATGCAAAATCAGGATTTGGTGGCATACATCAGTGTCATTGTGTAAATATTTAATCTCTTTTAAACGAAACCAACGAGAGTATAACTTTCTGTCGCCAAATGATGTGCAAAATACATAGGAATATATTTTTATTTAAGTTAGGTAGCTAAAGTTCAAGCGCCCAAGAGACGAAGAGAAAAATATAAAAGATAAAATAATAGTTTAAAAGCTGGCCAAAAAAAAAATAATTTAAATGCAATGTTAAATTAAAAATCGACACGTCCAATTCGCGCACGGTGGGCTCCGTACCATTATCTGTACAGAATTATACACTATATATTTTAAAATAAAACAAAGAAACGGCAAAAAAACGTCTTTTGTTTCAATATTTATTTTTAAAGAAAATATAAAGGTAACTCAATATTCTGTATCAATAACCTATTGCCGTTATTAATATAGAGAAAAAAACGGCAAAAAAACACGTTTGTTGCACTGATTTTATATTATTATATCATTAAAGACAACACAATTACATCATCTGTGATAATTTCAACAGTCCAGCAGTGCTATTCTGTAAAATTTTCACGGATCCGTCCGGATTATTTAAATGAATTTATAGATGGAATACTTAACCAAAGAGGAGATATTTATGATAAAAAGTGGTCAGTACGACAAAACGCTAATTTCATATAAGGACCTAATATAAGTATATTTATATAGAAATACATATTATACATACTGAAAACTCAACCATTTAAGTTAAACCCTGATATCTATTGGGTATCATAAGTCAAAAAATATCATAGAAATACAATTGCTTTAGGCACCATCCTAGTTCTTTCATTCATTCATATGACGACCTCCGTGGCCGAGTGGTTTGTACGCCGGGTTTCATGGTGTCGCCGACTCGAGAGGTCCCGGGTTCGAATCCCGGTGGGGGCAGACGTTTGTGTGATGAATACGAGCATTAGTACTCCAGTCATGGATGTTTAATATATATATCTTTAAAAATATACTTAAATATGTACAATATAATATATATTCTATCCGTTACCCTAGCATCAAATAACACAAGCCTTACAGTGCTTACTTTGGGGCTAGGCTAATTGGTGTGAGTGTTGGAAATATTTATTTATTTATTTATTTCATCACCTTAAGAGCTCATAGTACCGCATGCAGTCTATAAAAATACTAAACCACTAGCATACGCTGATTATATGTAGTTATGCCAATAATGTACACATAAGAATTGCATCTTCGTCTACGTGATGATAATTGACGGTTTGTTTACAGTAGCATCCATTTAACAACGATGACAACCGCCTTTATATAAACCAGGAGTCTGACAATCCCCAACTAGTTGAACAGGTAAGTCAGATACATAAGGATATAATTTATTTTGTGCATCCCATGTCAAGATTTAGTTAGGAAGTAATAGTTAATTATATTTAAATGCATTACCTATCATGCCTTCAGTATTTACTTACATGATCATGGCACTAACGCTGGTAGCTGGGGAATTTTATGATGCAAAATATGATGATTTCGATATAGAGCCACTACTAGAAAACGATAGGATTTTACAAGGATACACTAAGTGCTTTCTCGATGAAGGACCTTGCACACCGGAAGCAAAAGATTTTAAAAGTAAGTTACTACTTTCACAAATATTAACAGTAAAACAACCTCTTAATAACCTCGGTAAGGGGTATGCGTTATATCTAGAACATTAAATCTCTCATTAAATTGAACTCAGAGCTTGTAGAACTCGCAAACTTTGATTTCATCGAAACGGTAACCATATATTAACTACTTGATACTAAAGTAGGCATCACTATTTCCATATTCAGTAAAGCTCTGGAAAGCTTACTCAGCGATAGAAACCTAAAAAGAACTGCGCACTTATGTAAGGTAAAGCTAACATACATAGACATCAAACATATACTCATCAAGAGAGTCTAAGCAACATGCATCATTTACGCTACTAACTTCAACTTCAAGTATATACTCGCATGTCAGTTTGATATTTTATGTTATTGTTATAAATGTATAATTTATTCAAAGGATTTTGCTTTAGTCACCAACAAATCCAATTAGTTATTAAAAAACGAATATAAGTAAGAAATATTTAAAAAATCTGTCCAAAATTTTAAAAAGTTCATGTAGTTTAGACTCTTTTGAATAGTATAAATGTGAATCCCATGAAATTGTAATTTCGATTACTTACTTTTTTGGTAGTGTTATCAATCCAAGTTAATTAACAATTAGCCTTTGACTCTTTTCATCTTATAAATATTAACCTGACATTGTGCTTGCTTTTAATTGAAGATGTCCTTAATTTTGAATGAGTCAGAATAAACTGGTAGTTCGTGAAGGAGCTATTATTTAAATTGTTAAAAAAATGTTCCGACAATGCTTATTTTTAATATTCGAATATGCTTGCAAACTCTCTATGTGACTTGTATAGTGGCATTAAGTACATTTTATATTATACAAGTTTTATATAATACGTAATACGGAAAGAATAAATAAAATATTTAACGGAAAAAAAAATTACTTACTAAAGGTATTTGAAAAAACGGGTTTCTTGTTTCAGAGGTTATTCCAGAAGCACTAGAGACATCTTGTGGCAAGTGTTCCCCAAAACAGAGGATACTGATCAAAAAGGTGATCAGAGCTATGATGGAAAAGCATCCGGATTCTTGGAACAAATTAGTTGACAAGTACGATAAAGACAAAAAATTCAGAGCAACGTTCAATAAGTTTATTGAGGAAGAAGACTAAAAAGTAGCATCTGCGTGATTCTGCTTAGTACTTCTTTGTAGGCGTAGCTAATATTAAGATTTTTGTTAACAATACAGAAAAAAAACTGATGAAGTTTTTAAACGGTTGACCGGAATTCCAACATGGCTCAAATAACTCGGTAGTTTATAGTAAATGAAACAAAATATGTATTGGTTTCCATTTATTTCAAAATCTCTAGTGACATTACAAACACATTCTCCAAACTTTCCTTACCTAAATTAAACAGTTCCAATTACAGTCTTTGTTGCCTACATTTTCTATATCACAATTTTGTATCTAATTTAATTATGCATTAAAAGACATTTAACTTACAAATATCTATTGTTTGCCCTTAACTTCCTCGATCTTGTCCTTGTATCTCTGCTGGTACATGTTGTCGGGGTCGTATTTAGCCGCAAGTTCTGTCCAGAGGTCGGGTCGTTTGTTCACAAGATGTCGGATTACTTTGTCAGACGCAGTCTTTTGTTTCTCTGTACATTTCGAACATTCATGTTCCAAGGCGTCTGGGAGTGTTTCTTTCAAAGCTTTACCGTCAGGCGTGCAACGTCCCCTCTCAAGAAGACAATCGACGTATCCTTTTAGGAGTCTGTTTGATTCGAGTATTTCATCGACGTTAATATGGTCCCATTTGTCAGTGTAGGTATTGCCCGGCCTTGCCCACGCAATCGTCACTACCACCGACAGACCGATAAGAATTATAGCCTTCATTGTTTATCTGGAACAAGAGAATGTTATATATGGTATTTTTCTTGAATAAATTGATGTTAAGAATCACACTTAAGGATGTCAATCAACTTTTAAGTTCCATTCCATTCGAATTGATATTGTATTAAACTCGATGCTCCTAGCCAATTATATAATTTGATAATAATGGAAGGATGAGTAGAATGAAGTTATGATTAATAATCAAGGCAACACCAATTCTGTTAACCATACAATGTTAAATTAGTAGCAGACGAGTGAGCAATGTTTTCTTCTGATATTGATTTGCATAGGAGATTTCAATGAAAATAATACCATATCTTTATTGGTGAAGCTGCATCACAGAGAGCTAAGCATATAATTATAAATATTATGAAACTCGTTAACAATGAACTCCTTCCAGCTTAAGTACACGCATACAACAGACGGATAGTTTTCAATACTTTGATTACTAATTGATATGATTACCCATTGTTTCATTGTTCACTTGAATACCTATGTGACGACACTTGATAAGAATTTTGCGTCAATTTAAGTGTTGGTATCCCTGTGTGAGGAGTTATAACCGGTAATTAAACTAATTTGATTAGATTAGTATGTAATAATGAACATCCCTAAACGAGGAGCTCGATGGTGCAGATGGATAGCGCGTTCAGCCTGCAATCGTGGAAATTTAGCAACTTTGGCCATGGTCGGTCATTGGATGGGTGACCAAAAATTTATTATCTCGATCTCATCCGTGACGGAAGGCGCGTTAAATCTCTAGCCCTGGCTGCATTTGCTGTCCTAAGTATCCACCAACACGCACTGGGCCAGCGTGGTAGATCATGGCCCAGTCTCCCTAATCCATCCAAAGGAAATGCCTGTGCCCCAACAGTGGGGACATTAATAAGCTGGTGATGATGAAAGGTAAGTATGAAAATAACGATAGCTTCTCTACAATCTATACTTTTATACAAAAAGTTGGTTTAGTTATAATGATTTTTTTTTATATTTTTTTCTATATCAATCGATCAGGATTAGAACCTGCGACAAGATAAATTGTATTTTAGCTACAGACGCTACAAGCTGCTGATGAATAATTTAAACACCAATACTGATTAACAGTTATCTATGCCATTAAAAATCATATATTTTTAATTATAATTATTGGCAATAATATTGAAGGCTGCAAACAATGTGAGGTGCCTACATAATCCTTAGTAGTTGAATAAAAAATTCATTAAAATAGGTATTTTGACATCGTGGTCGTTTTGAAATGAAATTATCTACCATACAGCTAATAATGCTACAATTTTTTTGGACTCAGTAGTATACTATATATTAAAATGTCACTTTTAGTAAATATTATCAGTTGAATTTATTACTATACTACACAAGCTGCTGCCCCGGACTTCGTCACCATTTAGTTTAGTTTCATGCAACTTCCAAAAAATTTTTCCGTAAGATCCTCGTACAAAGTATTAGAAAACTTTAAAAATAGATTGAAATAGTGAAATCGTATAACATGACACGACTGACGGTAATAGGAAGTCCCTTTTTAATACACCAAAAAATATTATTATATTTCTGCTATTATGTTTAGATCTTTATCAAATAACAACATTGTTAGGTTTCGTAACGTAAGCCATTATTAGGTACATTAACGAGTATACCTATATGAATTTTAAAAAAAGTTTTACTCAAGGAAGAGTGTGCGGAAGTAAAAGAAAACATATATAAATAAATTATATATTATTTTTAGATATTTTAGTTTTAGGTTAATTGTTTTACTTTGTCAAATTTGAGTGTCTGTTTTATATATTAAACTAACATTTATTATACTAAAAAAAACCTAAAGGTATAGGTTTTCGAAGAGGTGGTAGCGCTCTTGGAGGTATCGGTGGATTGATAGCATCACTCAAGAGTGCATCTACTTCGTCCTTTAGTAGATAATGTTCTAAGGAATCTGCCACTTCATCATCAGGTTGAGCTGTTGGTAAACCAGCTGCACAAATTTTTGGACCCCTTTCAATAAACATTCCCAAATTCCCTTTCCCCCCCGATGTCGATCGTTGACAGTCAACAGGCATGTTAAATAAATATTAGTACAAAATAAAAATATTTTTCATGATTTTACCGAGTCCTTGACATGCAAAATCAGGATTTGGTGGCATACATCAGTGTCATTGTGTAAATATTTAATCTCTTTTAAACGAAACCAACGAGAGTATAACTTTCTGTCGCCAAATGATGTGCAAAATACATAGGAATATATTTTTATTTAAGTTAGGTAGCTAAAGTTCAAGCGCCCAAGAGACGAAGAGAAAAATATAAAAGATAAAATAATAGTTTAAAAGCTGGCCAAAAAAAAAATAATTTAAATGCAATGTTAAATTAAAAATCGACACGTCCAATTCGCGCACGGTGGGCTCCGTACCATTATCTGTACAGAATTATACACTATATATTTTAAAATAAAACAAAGAAACGGCAAAAAAACGTCTTTTGTTTCAATATTTATTTTTAAAGAAAATATAAAGGTAACTCAATATTCTGTATCAATAACCTATTGCCGTTATTAATATAGAGAAAAAAACGGCAAAAAAACACGTTTGTTGCACTGATTTTATATTATTATATCATTAAAGACAACACAATTACATCATCTGTGATAATTTCAACAGTCCAGCAGTGCTATTCTGTAAAATTTTCACGGATCCGTCCGGATTATTTAAATGAATTTATAGATGGAATACTTAACCAAAGAGGAGATATTTATGATAAAAAGTGGTCAGTACGACAAAACGCTAATTTCATATAAGGACCTAATATAAGTATATTTATATAGAAATACATATTATACATACTGAAAACTCAACCATTTAAGTTAAACCCTGATATCTATTGGGTATCATAAGTCAAAAAATATCATAGAAATACAATTGCTTTAGGCACCATCCTAGTTCTTTCATTCATTCATATGACGACCTCCGTGGCCGAGTGGTTTGTACGCCGGGTTTCATGGTGTCGCCGACTCGAGAGGTCCCGGGTTCGAATCCCGGTGGGGGCAGACGTTTGTGTGATGAATACGAGCATTAGTACTCCAGTCATGGATGTTTAATATATATATCTTTAAAAATATACTTAAATATGTACAATATAATATATATTCTATCCGTTACCCTAGCATCAAATAACACAAGCCTTACAGTGCTTACTTTGGGGCTAGGCTAATTGGTGTGAGTGTTGGAAATATTTATTTATTTATTTATTTCATCACCTTAAGAGCTCATAGTACCGCATGCAGTCTATAAAAATACTAAACCACTAGCATACGCTGATTATATGTAGTTATGCCAATAATGTACACATAAGAATTGCATCTTCGTCTACGTGATGATAATTGACGGTTTGTTTACAGTAGCATCCATTTAACAACGATGACAACCGCCTTTATATAAACCAGGAGTCTGACAATCCCCAACTAGTTGAACAGGTAAGTCAGATACATAAGGATATAATTTATTTTGTGCATCCCATGTCAAGATTTAGTTAGGAAGTAATAGTTAATTATATTTAAATGCATTACCTATCATGCCTTCAGTATTTACTTACATGATCATGGCACTAACGCTGGTAGCTGGGGAATTTTATGATGCAAAATATGATGATTTCGATATAGAGCCACTACTAGAAAACGATAGGATTTTACAAGGATACACTAAGTGCTTTCTCGATGAAGGACCTTGCACACCGGAAGCAAAAGATTTTAAAAGTAAGTTACTACTTTCACAAATATTAACAGTAAAACAACCTCTTAATAACCTCGGTAAGGGGTATGCGTTATATCTAGAACATTAAATCTCTCATTAAATTGAACTCAGAGCTTGTAGAACTCGCAAACTTTGATTTCATCGAAACGGTAACCATATATTAACTACTTGATACTAAAGTAGGCATCACTATTTCCATATTCAGTAAAGCTCTGGAAAGCTTACTCAGCGATAGAAACCTAAAAAGAACTGCGCACTTATGTAAGGTAAAGCTAACATACATAGACATCAAACATATACTCATCAAGAGAGTCTAAGCAACATGCATCATTTACGCTACTAACTTCAACTTCAAGTATATACTCGCATGTCAGTTTGATATTTTATGTTATTGTTATAAATGTATAATTTATTCAAAGGATTTTGCTTTAGTCACCAACAAATCCAATTAGTTATTAAAAAACGAATATAAGTAAGAAATATTTAAAAAATCTGTCCAAAATTTTAAAAAGTTCATGTAGTTTAGACTCTTTTGAATAGTATAAATGTGAATCCCATGAAATTGTAATTTCGATTACTTACTTTTTTGGTAGTGTTATCAATCCAAGTTAATTAACAATTAGCCTTTGACTCTTTTCATCTTATAAATATTAACCTGACATTGTGCTTGCTTTTAATTGAAGATGTCCTTAATTTTGAATGAGTCAGAATAAACTGGTAGTTCGTGAAGGAGCTATTATTTAAATTGTTAAAAAAATGTTCCGACAATGCTTATTTTTAATATTCGAATATGCTTGCAAACTCTCTATGTGACTTGTATAGTGGCATTAAGTACATTTTATATTATACAAGTTTTATATAATACGTAATACGGAAAGAATAAATAAAATATTTAACGGAAAAAAAAATTACTTACTAAAGGTATTTGAAAAAACGGGTTTCTTGTTTCAGAGGTTATTCCAGAAGCACTAGAGACATCTTGTGGCAAGTGTTCCCCAAAACAGAGGATACTGATCAAAAAGGTGATCAGAGCTATGATGGAAAAGCATCCGGATTCTTGGAACAAATTAGTTGACAAGTACGATAAAGACAAAAAATTCAGAGCAACGTTCAATAAGTTTATTGAGGAAGAAGACTAAAAAGTAGCATCTGCGTGATTCTGCTTAGTACTTCTTTGTAGGCGTAGCTAATATTAAGATTTTTGTTAACAATACAGAAAAAAAACTGATGAAGTTTTTAAACGGTTGACCGGAATTCCAACATGGCTCAAATAACTCGGTAGTTTATAGTAAATGAAACAAAATATGTATTGGTTTCCATTTATTTCACAATAAATCTCTAGTGACATTACAAACACATTCTCCAAACTTTCCTTACCTAAATTAAACAGTTCCAATTACAGTCTTTGTTGCCTACATTTTCTATATCACAATTTTGTATCTAATTTAATTATGCATTAAAAGACATTTAACTTACAAATATCTATTGTTTGCCCTTAACTTCCTCGATCTTGTCCTTGTATCTCTGCTGGTACATGTTGTCGGGGTCGTATTTAGCCGCAAGTTCTGTCCAGAGGTCGGGTCGTTTGTTCACAAGATGTCGGATTACTTTGTCAGACGCAGTCTTTTGTTTCTCTGTACATTTCGAACATTCATGTTCCAAGGCGTCTGGGAGTGTTTCTTTCAAAGCTTTACCGTCAGGCGTGCAACGTCCCCTCTCAAGAAGACAATCGACGTATCCTTTTAGGAGTCTGTTTGATTCGAGTATTTCATCGACGTTAATATGGTCCCATTTGTCAGTGTAGGTATTGCCCGGCCTTGCCCACGCAATCGTCACTACCACCGACAGACCGATAAGAATTATAGCCTTCATTGTTTATCTGGAACAAGAGAATGTTATATATGGTATTTTTCTTGAATAAATTGATGTTAAGAATCACACTTAAGGATGTCAATCAACTTTTAAGTTCCATTCCATTCGAATTGATATTGTATTAAACTCGATGCTCCTAGCCAATTATATAATTTGATAATAATGGAAGGATGAGTAGAATGAAGTTATGATTAATAATCAAGGCAACACCAATTCTGTTAACCATACAATGTTAAATTAGTAGCAGACGAGTGAGCAATGTTTTCTTCTGATATTGATTTGCATAGGAGATTTCAATGAAAATAATACCATATCTTTATTGGTGAAGCTGCATCACAGAGAGCTAAGCATATAATTATAAATATTATGAAACTCGTTAACAATGAACTCCTTCCAGCTTAAGTACACGCATACAACAGACGGATAGTTTTCAATACTTTGATTACTAATTGATATGATTACCCATTGTTTCATTGTTCACTTGAATACCTATGTGACGACACTTGATAAGAATTTTGCGTCAATTTAAGTGTTGGTATCCCTGTGTGAGGAGTTATAACCGGTAATTAAACTAATTTGATTAGATTAGTATGTAATAATGAACATCCCTAAACGAGGAGCTCGATGGTGCAGATGGATAGCGCGTTCAGCCTGCAATCGTGGAAATTTAGCAACTTTGGCCATGGTCGGTCATTGGATGGGTGACCAAAAATTTATTATCTCGATCTCATCCGTGACGGAAGGCGCGTTAAATCTCTAGCCCTGGCTGCATTTGCTGTCCTAAGTATCCACCAACACGCACTGGGCCAGCGTGGTAGATCATGGCCCAGTCTCCCTAATCCATCCAAAGGAAATGCCTGTGCCCCAACAGTGGGGACATTAATAAGCTGGTGATGATGAAAGGTAAGTATGAAAATAACGATAGCTTCTCTACAATCTATACTTTTATACAAAAAGTTGGTTTAGTTATAATGATTTTTTTTTATATTTTTTTCTATATCAATCGATCAGGATTAGAACCTGCGACAAGATAAATTGTATTTTAGCTACAGACGCTACAAGCTGCTGATGAATAATTTAAACACCAATACTGATTAACAGTTATCTATGCCATTAAAAATCATATATTTTTAATTATAATTATTGGCAATAATATTGAAGGCTGCAAACAATGTGAGGTGCCTACATAATCCTTAGTAGTTGAATAAAAAATTCATTAAAATAGGTATTTTGACATCGTGGTCGTTTTGAAATGAAATTATCTACCATACAGCTAATAATGCTACAATTTTTTTGGACTCAGTAGTATACTATATATTAAAATGTCACTTTTAGTAAATATTATCAGTTGAATTTATTACTATACTACACAAGCTGCTGCCCCGGACTTCGTCACCATTTAGTTTAGTTTCATGCAACTTCCAAAAAATTTTTCCGTAAGATCCTCGTACAAAGTATTAGAAAACTTTAAAAATAGATTGAAATAGTGAAATCGTATAACATGACACGACTGACGGTAATAGGAAGTCCCTTTTTAATACACCAAAAAATATTATTATATTTCTGCTATTATGTTTAGATCTTTATCAAATAACAACATTGTTAGGTTTCGTAACGTAAGCCATTATTAGGTACATTAACGAGTATACCTATATGAATTTTAAAAAAAGTTTTACTCAAGGAAGAGTGTGCGGAAGTAAAAGAAAACATATATAAATAAATTATATATTATTTTTAGATATTTTAGTTTTAGGTTAATTGTTTTACTTTGTCAAATTTGAGTGTCTGTTTTATATATTAAACTAACATTTATTATACTAAAAAAAACGGGTTGCACTCCGGGAGTGCCGGCAGAAGTGAAAACTTGAATATTTACGTTTAGCATTTTTGACTTTTTGGAATGGTTAGGGAATAAATTTTGCACGAATTGCTTTAATTATCAGTATAAAAGTACTATCATTTATGTGGTAGAATACAATATTTATTTATTGCGCTATCGTACACAAACATGACAATTTATATTACATTAAAAAGTTTATCTTTCAGAAAAATCAACTTACATGAATCACATTTAAGCGCACCTAGCGACATCAATTGTAAAAAAAATGCATTTTCTTCGTAATAAAGCCACCTGGACGTCGTAATTAGATTTATACGATAAAATAAAATATTACTATGTTTCGTCCAATATATTGAAAGTCAACAACCTTTCCAATTTTATTGTTTTCGTTTTACGAATTTACGATTAGGCCACGTGTCCTGACGCGAGTTTAACATTTTTTACCCATCACAAAAAAGTGTACAACGCCGCTAAATAAGTTTTCACTTCAAAAATTACGTTCATTTTCTACATCCTTTGGTCTATTTTTTACTAGTGACCCGCCCTCGCTTCGCTTCGGTGTAGACTATAGTTTTTTTCACTACTGTTCAGTGTTCATACATCATTAACCAGCAATGTGAAACCGGGTTTTTTTTGCTATAGTAGGTGCTCTTTAATATATTAAATGTAATTGATGTGTAGACGTTTAATAAAATTAGAAAACGCATACTTTAGGGGTCAAGGTAAGTTGCTGCATTAGCGTCATTCTTGCACATTTTCCCTGTAGTAAGTTAATAACTTACGTAGTAGTAAGATCAGTGGCAGTTAAACGTTAAGTGATTTATGATTTTTGCAATAGAGGCTGTGATTAAGAGACAAGTGCTTGTTATCCCTTTGTCACGTGTGGAACACGACGATGGATATTGTTGGTGAAAAGTTTAAGTAAAATTAATAATTATTTGTTTAAGAAAAATAGTACTAGAAGAGATATTACTTTTGGTTATTTTTAATTTTTATAAAAATTGGTCAATCTATAGTTTCCACATTAAAATGTCTGCTAATTGTATCGATTGGGTTATTTTCTACTACATCCTTTTGGTAAGAACCAGTTACTGTCTATTACATTTCCATTTTAATTATTCCGTTGGTATACTCATAAAAAAAGTAATTTTAAAAATATTAATATTAATTGTGAGACCACTCAACTCTGAAATCTGATGATTATGATGATGTTTTTTTTTTATGAAGGAACATTAAAACAGTTTTTAAAAAAATAATTACATATTATTTTTATGTATATGTATAAAAATAACAAAAAGTGCAAAGACTAAACTAGAATATTGAAAAAGCAATGTTGATATTTAAAGTCTTCTTTTGTAAAGATTAGGTACCTGTCTAAAATATCTGAAAGCGGTTAACAATGGATATTAAAGAGAAAAAGCTACGTCACAAAACTCTTTGTTTGACCTTTGACGAAAAATTTCTATATATATAATAATTATTGATATTTTTATCTATCAATACACTATATGTATATTATAATACCTACCTACTGACTCTAACTATTATTGTTAATTGCTGCTATTTTAGGCCTTTTTACACCAAAATTAATAAATAATAATAAATAAATAAAAATTGAGGAGCTCGAGGGCGCAAGCGGTTAGCGCATTCGGCTGCGATCGTTGAAGTTAATCAACTTTCGCATTGGTCGGTCGTTGGATGGGTTACTAAAAATTTACGATCTTGAGCTCCTCCTTGCTTGGGAAGGCACGTTAAGCCGTTGGTCCCGGCTGCATCTGCAGTCGTTAGCACTCACCAATCCGCACTAGGCCCGCGTGGAAGGCCTGTGCCCCAGCAGTGGGGCCATTAATAGGCTGATAATGATGATGATGATGACACCAAAATTCTTAAACACTTATAAGCTTAATCTTAATTTTTTTATGTTAAAAAGGTGGCAAACAAGCGTATGGTTTGTCTGATGGTAGCCTATAGATGCCAGCGATACCAAAAATATCACTCGCACCGTTGCCTACCCTGACCCAATCCCCTACCGTGGAGCCCTGGAACCTAACTCACCGACAGAAACAAAACACCACCAAAAGGAAATGATCTTCTGAAAGGTGAAGTTACTTCCCCAGACGGACGCTCCCATTCGGGCGGAAAACCCGCTATGCCCTACCTCTTAAAATCTCTGATCCTCTATTAGACTATAAACATCATTGATAAAACGGGATGATGTGTTAAACAGGATTAAACCTTTATACAATGTTGGTGCAAGGGGTCCATAATGTTTTTCAAATATTTTTTCAATAATACACTCAACAACTCATACAACGTGACATGTTTAAAAAAACAAATTATTGTTTACAAACGATGACTCACCTACGTTTAAGTCGCAGGACCATTCGCTGGGATCTGAAGCCTCCTACAATACTATGGGATATTTAT